AGGAGATCGTGTGAGGAAAAGATGAGACAGTTTGGTCAATCATGGACCCAGCTGAAGAGGACGGCACATAAAAGAATGAAGTGGAAATGTGTTGTTGAAGCCCTATGTTTCACTCGGAACGCAAGGGAATTATTATTATACCCTTTAATTCCTAGAGAAACATAGGGCTTCAGCTGCATGCCTCCATTGCCTTCTGTTTTCTGCCAACATTTTCACCCCGCTCCAAGTCTGTCCACATGCTTTCATCTCCTCCTCACATGACCTCCTCCAAGTCACCCCAACCATGCACTGACGACCAACTCGCCGCTTCCCTTTCGGCCGGGTTCCACTCGAGCGACGGCTTGTCTAGTGACGTCACTTGATGGTTTCCTCAGCGTATGGCCAATCCATCTCCATTCCTTCCTGCCTATTTGTTTCACAATCGGTTCCTGCTGGGTTGGTTCGCTCATTGCCAGAGATCCCTGTTGCTGATCTTTTCTGGCAGGCCATCTGATCTTGAGTATTGAGCGAAGACAACTGTTAATGAAGACCTGAAGTTTGTTTGAGGTGCCCTTCGTGACGTGGTGTCAAGTTCCCCCTTAAAGTAGAACTGACTTCACATTGTAGTTGAAAATCTGGATCTTATTTTTCAAGCTGAGTGCGTTGTTGATCTTCACACAGACTTGAGAGAAATAAAAGCTTGTCTTGCTTTTCCGATTCTTGGTTTGATATCTTCGTCAGTTCCGCCCGTACTTGAAACGATGCTTCCCAGGTGGGTAGGTAAAGGAGGTTGTTTCTTTCAGGCTCCTCTCATTCATGCTGGCCTATTGTTGTCTGTTGTTGTTGCTGTTGCCGTTGATGTTGGCCAGGAATCTTCATCACCTCTGTTTTCTTTACGTTCACCTGAAAAAGGCCAATCTTTTCTAGATGCTTCTTCTGTCAACTTGTTGCTTTTCACTTGCATATCTTCCAGTTTGTGGGAAATCAGAATATATCATCGGCGAAGTCGAGATCCTCCAAGTTTTTTGTGTGAGTCCATTTTATGCCTGTTTCCTCATTGCCCATTTTCTGTCGCATTATCCAGTCTACTGAAGTCAGGAGGATCATTGACCATAGTAGACAGCCTTGCCTCACTCCCGTCCTCACTTCGAAGGATTCCGTAAGTTTCCCGTTGTGGATTGCTTGACATGCGGCATTGTCGTATAACTGTTGGATGAGATGTATAATTGTCGATGGGACCCCGTAGTAGCGAAGTAGTTGCCAAATCACCTCTCGGTCGACGCTATCGAAGGCCTTTTCAAAGTCGATGAAGTTGAGATAGACAGCTGACTGCTATTCCAAGCTTTGTTCAATGATGATCTGTAGTGTGGCAATTTGATCAAAACATGACTTTCCGTTTGCCCATCTGGTGACATCCATGTAGCCTTGTGGATATATTTGTGTTTGTATACGCTGCCACCAATCACTAGTTTGTTGAAGGCGCAGAAGTCGGCGAAGAGTAATTAACGACATTAGTATTGTTAAAATAACACCGAATCAGTCAATAATAAAAATAGATTACAGTCCTATAGCATCAACATAACAATAAACTGAATATCAGTATAAAATTTGGGAACTGTGCTAGTAGAGTATAACTCCATTATGGATAAAAATTGTATTTTGGTAAAATCACACAGCGTAGTGTTATACAGTAATATTACCTGATGACCACGTTTCGAACCTAAACTATTGCCACTCATAATCATATCAAGGTACTCACATAACTTGCTTGCTTCATTTATATACATGAGTGGAAGTGATGATTAGACATTTGAATAAAAATCAATATGAGATAATGTACACTCAGAAATAATAATATGAGCGTTATTGATCAAATACAATCAGATGGGAAATAAGACGAGTGTTTTTATAGTCATAATAAGTAACTTGTTAGAATGTTATCATGTGAACTGGAATAGAATTTTAAGATAATTTATTATCCTCCTCTGATTTGACTGACGGTAATAATATCTTCACCATTTCTGGTATTTGCATTGAGTCATTTCTGTTGCGTGTGTTAGGTGAAGACTCGACGACCAAAGATCCAGTAATCAATCTCTCTCGTTCTCTACCCACCTTTATTACTGCTTAGAATTTTTACCCTCTCCCACCCACCTATTGTGTGGCTGTGTTTTAATGCATGCAGTGCAGTTGCTGAGCATTTTTCTAAATTACTCATCTGTCTTCATGGGGTCAATCATTCTAACCTTATGTTCTGCTAATCTACCGATCTACTAGTTTCCTCTACGTAAATTCACCTAACTCACAGTCATTGGAAGGTATTTTTTAAATAATATTATTTGGTTTAATAGAGTCAACCAACAGGGTCTTTTAGCCTACAGAGCTCGTCCTGCCTGAGTGAGTTTGCAGGTTTGAATGCCCCCTCCTAATTCCTGCTTTATTAAGAATCCTACGTAGGGTCTCAGATGTCCCCTCCTTATATGGTATAACAGTAGATGACTTATATTCTCTCTTATTTATATTATCATTACTAGTTCCATAATTATTTTTATTTTACTTTTGGCCTTTTTCGAACTTCCTAATGAATTTTATGGGATAGTTATTTAACATGAACGCTTCTTCTATCTGTTTTATTTCATCATTTAGGTCTTTCCTTGTGCCTTCAGAGACAGAAAACGGATGAGATGAATTAAAGTTTAAATATCTATTAGCAGAATGAGTTGGCTTTCTGCACACACACTAGTGTGTAGTTTGCCTTCTTCTATTCGTTTTATTTTACAATCTGACATCGCTTATTCTCCTTGTTCATTTTCCGATTCAAATGTGACATTAATTCCTTCTGATAAAGAGTTTATATGTGTCAAGAAGCTAGACAGGGATATGTTCTGTTTTTCACACTGTGAGTGAAAGTGTCATCCACATATCCCCTCCACCATAATTTCGGAGTAGGATAAAATGTATTAAGAGCAATATTTTCCCAGTTGCCCATAGAGGCATCTGCTACGATAGGAGATATTGGTGACCCCAGTGCTACACTGTCTGTTCGCCTATATATTTTGCCATGGAATTTAAAAATGGTAGGTGTAAGGCATAACTGAAACCCTAAAATAATAATTTTCTCAATCCGCAGCTTTGTCCTTTGACTAAGTTCTGGATCAAAAGTTAGCTCTTTTTTAACCGCTTATAAGGCCACATTGATGGGTATATTAGTGTCAAGACTAGTTGCATAAAAACTAATAAAATGAATATCAGAGAGGTAAAATAGGAAAGATAATATTACAGAATCAATGAATTTATAGGCTCCAAAGAAAGCTGGCGAACGCAGTAATAGCGGCTGGCTAGCTGGTCATGTTTCTTCTTCATACAGACCACTATTTGTTTTAGGCCATTGCTGTCTGTGGAGTATTCGGTACGTGGATGCTTTCAGCAGTTTATTTGCTACCTGATAGACAATGATGAACGTGGATTCCTCGATAGTAGCTTTGTAGTCGGTCGTTTTGGACCAGGTGGTCTAATATCGAACTCTTGATAGTTTTCACAACACCTGTGTTAGGCCACACTTGTAGGTGTTCCAGAATGAGCACGAAAAAATCAAGTAACCAGAACAACTGTCAATATAACTCGCTCGACTGTTAGCGCAGTTGAATTCGTAGATACAGTTAGAGGTGACTAGCTACTCCAGGTACTTCATCTTTCAATCGAGGAATCACAACTGGTCGTGTAGAGAATAAGACGTGTAGTTTACCAGCATTAAAACTTCTTTGAAGGGATTTTCTTAACTTGTGCATAATCATTCCATCACTCAGTACCTCCTCTTTGAATTCCTGACGTATATGATATCAAGGCTTTTTATTTGCAGATAGAGAATAGTCCTCTTCTACTTTCCCTGCCATGTGTTTCTTGATAATTTTTTTGGGGGGGGATAGCTATTTTTAATCAAAGCGTCATATACAATCCCTAGTTCATCTTCAGTTACCTCTTCTGACCATATAGCGCCAACCCTGTGACTGAAGGTCTTCACTAAATTTCTTATATACTGGAGAGGAAGGAAGCTTTGGAAATGTGTATATTGTCCATCTATGTGCTTTTCCTATGCAAATTCTCCTGTATACTACGATCTGGTCTTCTGAAAAGGAGGATATCTAAGAAGGCAATTTTATTGTGCGACTCTTCTTCACACGGGAAATTGATAGCGGAGTGTATGAACTTCATTGAAGTGGGTTATTATTGTACTCTTATCCAAATCATTATCACAAGGAATCAAGGTGTCATCCATATATCGGCAATAAAATGAGAATTTTCCGATAGAGCTGTTTTTATTGGACCATTTTCTAGTTTTGTTATCTTAGAAAGAAATTTGCCGACATGGAACCCAATGTGGAACCCTTGCCACCTCGTCTACTTTGATGGAGAAGTTATCGAAAAGCATATTCTTTGTTCAGTAACCATCCTTCTGGAAATTCTGATGTTTTCGAATAACAGGAGTTGTTTGAATTTAATTGGTGGATAGTGACTAGCATTGTGGAATCCAGGATAAAGCGCATTTTGTCCTATTTAAGACTCGTCATCTGCATGTACCTACATTCCCTAGTGAGTGATGATGTCCCCACCGAGTCTCAAACCCAGTGACCATAACCTTAAACGCCAAAGCGCGTTATCCACTAGACCACTTGAGCCACCTCTTGTGCAACGGGTACATCCAGACGATGAGTCCCAAGTAGAACGAAATGCGCTCTGTCCTAACTTTCCCTGCTAGTCACCAATCATATCCTAATAACATGCCTAGACGTCGTTGAAGCATCTTCACAGGAAGGCAACATGTCACAATCTGAGACCGAGCACTTCAGTCCAATCGATAAATCACCCGGAAAATATAAAATTCAATTCAATAAAATGAGTTGTTGTTTTACATTTTGTTTGAACCTGGTTAGTTTCCTTTGCTGTCAAGATTTAAAATATGCAATGCGTTATACATTTTACTGTTTTAGAACTAATTTCTTTTCGTTTATAAAATTCATTAGTGTCTTGTGAACTCGTGGTGCGTAGTTCCATTAATCCACTACACAAACACATCATTGGCTTTTCAGTGAATGGTAATTAAGTAGTGATGGCAATCATGGATTCGGATGGGAAGACTACAACGGAGTAGGTTGCCGTATGAATTTTGCTTATTTTTTTGTCAAAAGCCCAAATCTTGTTCAACCTGGCAGCTGGCAGGAATTTATTATCAAATCAGGAGAAGCCTGTAGGTGAGTAATATTTTCTTAAATGTATGTGGGGGGGGTTGGGGCGTAGTGCTAACAACTCCGCCCCCAAAACTTAACCGAATTGCTACAGAAACTTCAACGAATAAATATATTAAAAATACTAAAAATATAAACAGTAACCTTATTTTTCGCTGGAATCGGGGAAGTGAAATGACGCAGGCTGGTGAAAGCCTTCGGGAAACCAGTCAGCCGATATGCCTTCTTTCGATGGAAGCAAAAATAAGGATGGGGACGTGGAATGTTCGTACGATGTATGAAACTGGAAAGGCTGCCCAGATAGCCGCTGAAATGAGAAGGTACAGAATAGAAGTGTTGGGAATCTGCGAGAGCAGATGGAACGGAACTGGAAGGTGCCAACTACCTACTGGAGAGACAGTAATCTTTTCCGGCCACCCAGAGGACAACCACGAGCACACCGAGGGAGTGGCCATCATGATGTCACCAACAGCAACCAAAGCTCTCATGCAGTGGGAACCAATCTCCTCCAGGATAATGACAGCCAGGTTCAACTCAAAAGGAAGGAAAGTTACAGTCATTCAATGTTATGCGCCTACAAACGTCTCAGAACAAGAGAAGAAGGAGGCGTTCTACAGACAACTACAAGCAATAATGGACAACGTCCCAAATGGCGATATCAAAATCCTGATGGGCGACATGAATGCGAAGCTGGGAGGAGACAACACAGGAAGAGAACTCACCATGGGTCGTGAGGCCCTCGGTGAAATGAACGACAATGGTGAACTCTTCTCAGACTTCTGCGCCTTCAATGATTTGGTGATTGGTGGCAGTGTTTTCAAACACAAGGAAATACACAAGACGACATGGATTTCACCAGATGGAAACACCAAGAACCAAATAGACTTCATCTCAATTTCAAGAAAGTGGAGACGGAGCCTACTGGACACAAGGTCGAGAAGAGGAGCAGATGTGGATTCAGACCACTATCTAGTAGAAGGAACTTTCAAGGTGAAACTAAAAGCCTCGAGGATAGCTGGAGATAGGCCACAATGCAAGTTCAACACTCAATTACTGAAGGACACAACCAAAAAAGACACTTTCACTGCAACTGTCAGAGCAAAGCAGGAAACACTACGCGACATCACTGAAGAATCATGCGTGGAAGAACATTGGAAGTCTCTGAAGGCGATTTTCAACGAAACGTGTTCAACGGTTTTAGGAAGAAAGAAGAGACAAGACAAGGAATGGCTCTCAACGGACACTTGGAAGCTAATAGAGGAGAGAAGAATGGTGAAAGAGAAAATGATTCAATGCAAGGACGGACAGGAGAAGGAGACGCTGAGCTCAACTTACACAGCACTGGACAAAGAAGTGAAGAAGAGTGCTAGGAAGGACAAAAGACGATTCTACGACAATCAGGCCACTGAAGCTGAGAAGGCAGCAGGCAAAAGGGACCTGAGGACACTATATCAGATAACCAAATCTCTATCCGGGAAGAGATCAACACAAGCGAAACCTATAAAAGACAGCCAAGGGAAGCCCATTACCAAGGAAGAAAAACAGATTAAACAATGGGCGGATCACTTCAAAGGACTCTTGAACCGACCATCACCTGCAACCCGTCCAGAAATACCAACAACAGCGTGCACACAACTGCAAGTTGACACCAATCCTCCAACGAAAGCTGAAGTCTTGAATGCAATCAAGCTTCTGAAAGCTGGAAAAGCAGCTGGACCAGATGGAATACCCCCTGAAGCACTGAAAGCGGACCCAGAGACTACAGCAGACATGCTGACTCCATTATTGCAAAAGGTCTGGAAGGAGGGAAAGGTGCCTACTGACTGGAGGAAAGGTTACCTCGTGAAACTACCAAAGAAGGGCGACTTAGGACTCTGCAAGAACTGGCGAGGAATCATGCTCCTGTCGACGCCAAGTAAAATCCTGAGTCGCATCATCCTGGAGAGAATAAAGGACTCACTGGATACCAAATGACCAAATGACCAAATTGCAACTCTACGCATCATCATCGAACAAAGCATGGAATGGCAATCAAACCTCTACCTCAACTTTATGGACTTTGAGAAGACCTTCGACAGCGTATGCATATATTGATTGATTGATTGATTTTTGTTTAAAAATCAACTGTCTGTGCAAGTATGTTAAAAATGTTTCTGCAGATGTACTTCATAATGACTTTGACCTGTAAGCAGCTGATGAGAGGCCAATGAAATAAACAATGATGGTACCATTTTATTCTGTACAAACCACTGTTGTTTTTGCTTTATTCAAATTCTCAAGTGTTGGTTTTGTAGGGATTTTGTTTGATTGAATGTAGGATTTCATCATGAGCTGACATCAGTTAAAGGAGTACTGGACAGAAGTTTCGTCCTATTTTGGGACTCATCAACAGTTCGCATCAGGATGAATAAATGTATATGAAGATCCTATTTATATTTCATTTTCGTTATATACAGTTAGAAATTTAAATTTTTTTATTTCAAAATCATTTATTTCAGTATTGCTGCTGTCATCCTCTCTATAATCTTCCTATTGTTCGATTCGTTGAGGACAAGTTATCCAGTAAATGTCGTTATTATCATACTGTTAGTAAGTAAAAATGATTATGCATTTTACCTTTTTTTATCACAGAGAACTTTGGCTGCATTACTTGAATTATATTTCCATATTAGTTTTGTTAGAAAATTAAGTAAACAATGTTTTAAGACGTTTTGAAATGTGAATCCTCATTTTTATATTTACTCAAAATCACTTCAGTGTGGCAGATTTATTTCCATGCTCAAACAGACTGAGGATTTTGCTGAAATTGAGATATATCACACATATAACTTAAAACAATTAGTGTGTCGGTGGCACAGTGGTTAGGACTCTCACGGACCATGTTCATGGTCCGAGGTTCGATCCCCTGCCGACGCACACCTGATATCTATGGTCGGCCTGCAAAATTTGGGCTACCGATATCCATGCTGAAAATTCCATACTTGTACCGAAAATACAGTGTGGAATCAAGCTGTAATAAAAAAATAAATAATAAAAAATGAAAATATTTTAGATAAAGCAATAAGAAGACGTAATTTGCCTGAATCGTGTAATGTATTCGTGCAACACATTTCGAACAATCTGATCACACACACACAGACTTGTCATTGAAATATATATATAAAATTAATAAAGAGGTAAGAGGTGAGAAAATAGACAAGTTAGGTCAAGTTAAAAGGACATATTGAAGGTCAAAATAACAATCAAGACCACTAAACCAAATAGCAGAGGTAATAGTACATCTGCAATTGTATCAAAAAAAAGTTTATCAAGGAAGGTTTAATGTGATGACAAATTGTTTTTGAACGCATAAAGGTGGCTTGAACTTTTTAATTGCTAGGGCTTCTACAAAGTAGTCAGAACACCAAAACCCACTCTCCAACTCGCCCCTAAGAAAGACGTGTACATCAAGCTACCTACCCTACATGGGGCATCAAAGCAGCTTGATAACTGGACAAAGACTGAACCCTGCTGTGGTTAAAAAGACTTTTTATGCAGCTAATATCATAATAATACAGAATGTTAAGCCAATATATCTATCTAAGCCCTTCGAACATGCGAAAAATGACGTCACATCCCACTGTATTTACCAATTTGAATGTACGTGTGGACACACATACAGAGAAGGAAAGACTCATCGATCTCTGCAAGTAAGGGCTTCAGAGCATATTCCAAAATGGCTCCAGAAACAAATGGAATCATCAGAATCTGTTAACGGTGAGAACAGGAGACCTAGCTCTTCTATTGCGAAACATATTATAGAGACAGGTCATAAAATTGATGTTAACAGATCTTTTAAACCTATCTATAAAATGTGTTTGGGGCGTATCCTAAAGTTTTTGTGGAAGCCCTAGCTGGCAATTAGAAAGTTCAAGCCACCTTTATGCGTTCAAAGCAGCAATTTGTCATCACATTAAACCATCCTTGGTAAATTTTGTTTTGATACCATAGTAGATGTACTATTACCTCAGTTATTTGGTTTAGTGGTCTTCATTGTTATTTTGACCTTCAGTGTGTCCTTTTAACTTGACCTAAGTCTATTTTTCTCACCTCTTACCTCTTTATTAATTTTATATATATTCCTATGACAAGTCCGTGTGTGATCAGATTGTTCGAAATGTGTTGAGCAAATATGTACATTACACGATTCAGACAAATTACATATAACTTAGCTAAATTTCACATTTTTGAGAGATTTCATTTTTATAGGAAAGATTATAAATACTGGTTCATTAAGTAGCCACACAGCAATCATATGCTTCAGTGACACAGTGGTAGAATGCCTGCCAACCACACTACATGCAGTTCGGGGTTCGACGTATTCAGCCGAAACTTCAAAGCTATAGTTTGAAGCCCTGTGTTCCATCACTGGGAACGTAAAGGAATAAAATACAATAAAATAATAATAACATTCATAGAAGAAGAGCAGATCTTCTTGGTAAACTACTTGTACCTTGCCAAACAATCAGCGTGACACATATCTATAACATCTGTGACAAACGTTGAAAATAGAGATTCACTCAGAAAATACTCCATTCAGAGTTGATGAACGATTTGAATTCGTGCGAAAAACGCAGCATTATATTTTGGATTAATCGAAGATGATATGCACGGGATCATATGAATGAAGAAAGGCATACACACTAGATTGAACAAAAGACGCCAGGAATTTGGATCTTGGCGATGATTATTGTCTATTGTCACACAAATTCAAAGATATACAAGTGAAAACTAACAACCAGTTGACAGAAGCAGGAGTCAATGCAAAGGCACAACTTTGGGCGAATGAACATACAGAAGACAGAGATGATGATGAAGATAGCTAACCGATAACGACTAGTACCGCTCATTATGATTAGGAGAAATCTTTTACTAGGAAGTCACCTCTTCCACTCACCCGACTGAACAACATCGTTTTGACTACGAGATTTCGGGAAATCACCGAAAAGATATCTTTGCTACACTTCTTGTTCTTTTCAATACAATTTTTCACAACTGTCTACTTCTCACTCGGCGCTCAAATATTTTAGAATTATTCTGCCAAATCTTGACGACAGCTCATTTGAAGGTTGGGACAGAGTTAAAATTCTGAAAATTAAAAATTAGGTAGGTGAAGTGCGAGGAAATTTGACTACTGAATTTTTGTTCATCTAATAATCTACACCCAATACATGGAATAGGAAGGACTCATCACTCATACTGGAAATATGGAAAATACTACTACCAGTTAAATCATGTGCGTTGGCGGATCAGCGGTAGAGTACTGGCTGACCATACACGCGGTCCTAGGTTCGAGTCCTCACTGGTGCACACCTTTACCTCCCTTAACTGGGTATAATCCCTACAGAGAGGGGAGATCGGGCGTGAGGCTAGCAACCTGATCCCATATAAATGACACCATTGATATTGAAGCCTCCCTATGTTCCTCTGGTAACGCAAAACGAATAGAAAAAAATCGAATCAAGCAATGAAAAATAATGGAATCCTATAAAAGAAGTCAGCAATTCGTGTGAGTAACTTGATATGACATCATTGTGAGCTGCAGTAATAAACTGAGTGCTCGAAACGTGATCATCAGTAAATATTACTGTATAACACTACACTGTGTGAGACTTTATCATAATAAACTTTCTGCATAATGACTCTTGGCTAATTTGTTATTAACTTTATCACTAGAAACATCATTGTGAAACATTCCTTTTGAAAACATTTTCATTGTTATTGTTGTTAAGCAAACCAACCTTTTATTCACACTGCTGCTATTTTTATCTTTACATTGCACTGGCTACAGGTGCTGCTGTGGACGTTTGGTGCATCTGCAATCTATGCTCAACTTCCATGGAAGTATCTTTTAATGTTACTTGGTCCAGCAACTACAGTGATGTTAATAGTTATATTTGTGAGTTTAAGATTAAAAAAAATGAAAGGATCAGTAATGATCACGTTCACTGTACTATCATTAGTGTTTATTGTAGCAGGTGTAGCCTGTTTTACGGTTGAAACCAAGTGGTAAGTGATTTTCAATAAGAAATTTCTTAACAATTTCTCTAAATTTCTCAGTAAAATTGCTTTTTCAGTATAGATTTCATCAGTAAACTGACAAACCAATACTTGAAAATCAATGAGATGCTCACCAGCGACTGGTCCTATTCAAATAAGTCATTACATAGGGTTCTAATGGGACCCAGTTGTGACCAGTAAGGTGCGGCAGGTCGGGTAGGAAGAAAAAAACTTGGCACCAGTCAATGAAATCCACAACGGTTGGTCTAAGCCATGTAGGAAGGTGTAGACTTCCAGGCTGGGCGGGAAAAGTGAAATGGAAACTGCCCTTCAAATTTTTTTTCTTCTTTTTCTTTTTGTAAATGAGGACGAATACTCACCGCTAGCAATGACATTGCCTGGCAGAAGTTGGAATTCATGGTCTACGAGCTTGCTGGCCTTTTAACCAGCAGTTCCATTGTTTGAACCCTGGCAATGGGTGCATACTGCTGAAGAGTACCAGACTAGTCAGACAAATCAGCTGTCAAGTATTACAAGCTGGTTTCTTGATGTTTCTTTAACCGATGCCAGTGCATGATGAAATCCTGTAACCAAAGTGACATCAGTTAGAGAAACACTGGAACCCGACGAACAGTGGACTTTTTTAACGGTATGCGCCATCGATCTCACTAGGGGTAGAGGGATTAACCCAGCACCTTCATTCTACATAACAAGCTTGTTTCACAATTCGACCACTGGATAGGAACAATTGTAAACGAGTGTAAAGCAAAAACGTTGATTACTTCAATAAAATGGGGATCTCAATACTCTGAATAATGCTTTAGTGCTAATTAGTACACTGGCGTTAGTGTTTCACCTATAGAATGTTCGCGAACCGCTGCTATGGTCCGGTATGGTGTTCGATGCCTGGTCGACGCACTCTTAGACCTCACTAAGCCGGTAGTAACACCAGTAAAGGGGGAGGGTTGGACATGAGGCTAGCAACCTCACTCCGTAAAAGTAAAACCGCTGCTGCCGAAACTTGAAACCTCCAGCTTGAAGCCCAATGATGTTCCACTCAGATCTGAAAGGAATAAAATGCTTTTAAAGTTGGTACCTCCATTGTGCGTTGGTGGCACAGTGGTTAGGACTCTCGCCGACCATGCACATGGTCCGAGGTTCGAGCCCACGCCGACGCACACCTGATATCTATGGTCGGCCTGCGAATTTCGGGCTACCGATATCCACGCTGAAAATTCCATACTTGTACCAAAAATGCAGTGTAGAATCAAGCTATAGTCAAAAAATGAAATACGATTTATCATTATTTATTTATTTTATTCCTTCACGTTTTTAGAGGAACACAAGGTTTCATGCAAGAACTGTGAAATTGCGGTAGCACTGGTGTTTATTTTTACAGGGTAGGGTTTCCAGCCTCAAACCCAACCTTCCCTCTCTGCTGGTCTTATTAACGGCTTAGTGAAGTCTAGGAGTGTGTTGGCTGTGAATCAAACCTTGAGCAATAAGCGTGACTGGCAAGCATTCAGCCGATATACCGCCGACGCGCCTTTGGAACATGACTCACTGTCTAACTGTTACACAAGGTGATTTAAGAAACACATGCTCAATATTCGACACGAAATGCGTCAAACTGCACCACTAACGACGATATTCTCAAACCCATTTTGGTAAAAGATGTCCCATAATCTCAAGCAATTAGTCATTCATATGAAGTTGTGTTATTTTCCATAGATATTTTTGCTAATACGATGTTATTGCGGTTTATTTTTGTTATACCAGCTACCTGTTCTACTCTTACCTATCATATTTTGGGGTTTGGCGTCAATTTTCGTAAGTTCTATTCACAAATAGTTTAATTCAAAGATATTTTGAGGTTATCTAATCTCACCGATCACTCACCGGCTCACTCACTCACTATGTACACAAGTAATAATTATCTCAATGATTATTTTTCACTTCACATTCTCTGACTACCATTCGTGACCAACACATTCATTAAATGTCGTATATGGTAGCTGCATGAACAGTTCGTAGATTTAATTACTGTTTGTCGCATAAATTATTCCGTCTCATGGAGCCAAGTCAATATGACCTGAAGGCTTGGTAATGCTAATTAGACAGTTTTTTAGCAGAAATATCAAAGGATTGATCACTAATGAGCAAAAAAATGATCTTTTCGATAACTTGTTCTTCATCAGTTTCTACAGTTATACCCTTGCATTGGGGTTATTAACAACGTTAATGTTGTTTAAATAACATTGAATTAATAATAACATGAGCAGATTACAGTTCAATAGCATCTGTGATTGTGGTTACATACATCAATATAAACTACACACTGAATGTCAGATAAATCAGGAAAATAGCAATATAATACAGAATTTATAAATTTATAGGCTCCACAGAAGGCTAGCCAAGGCAGTAGTAGTGGCTAGCTAGCTAGCTGGACCTGTTTCTTCTGCACACAGAGCACCGGTTGTTTTAGGTGAATCACAAAAGCCTCTGTTGTTTGGACATGTTTTAAGACGTTGCTAGGTCAGCAGTATAATGGTTACCAACCATGCACGTGGTCCGGGTTCCAGTCCCCAGTCGGCTCACACATTTACCTACCCTAGTTGACTGTAAGCCTGACAAAGAGGGAAGGTTTGGCGCGAGGCTAACAACCTCACCCCTTAAAAATAATTGCACTGCTACTGAAACTTTAAAGCTCTTGCTTGAAGCCGTATGTTCCATTTGGGAACACAAGGGAATGAGATAATATTCAAGAGTTAATTTGCAGAGATTTGATTTTCTTCAAGTTTGATCGCAGATTGATGTCACTTAGAGAAGCATTTAAAACTAGGGAATTGCTTGAACTTCTAATAAAAATTCGTGAATAATGAGGTCCACCACTAGGTCGGAATCGAGGGCAGATACTTTAAAGCGATGACATTGGCTATTGCCAGTCAAGTTAAAATCACGAACTGGTAGAAGCTAGGATTCATGGATTGGCCACTGAGTCGGATCCCGGCGTCTGAATGGTCTATGAGCTTTCCTTGCAATTGGGAAGGCCTTGGATTCGAACCCTGGTGGTAGGGTGGGTTCATACTGCCAGTGAGTCACAGACTAGGCTGACGAAACAACAGTCTGTCTAGCACTTCAGTGCTAGTGTAACAACAGAAGACAAGGCTGGCAACAGATCGTTTTATTATGAAAATCAACACGTATTTATACATATTTCACATACATTATTATAGCAAGTAGACAAGCGCAGTCATCTGATTGGTTGTTTATCAGAAGTTAGGCAGACAAACGCAGGCTTCTGATTGGTTGTTTCGGGATTCCTTGACAAATAGAGTTCTCTATCTGCGAATCATATTTTGCCACGTTAACTTTGCTGTGATTGGTTGTTGACTCAGCCTTGTTCATATTTTCTCACGGCCCATATTAACGTAGCTTAGTGTCAACCAATCGGCTAGCAGCCTGCTCTCACCACACTAGTTATCAGTGGGTCTCTAACTGGTATCAATCCGTAGTTAAAATTTAAACAAATGAAATAATATTAATACAATATTTGTTATTAATGCAAGAAGAGGATTCGTATTAAAGGGATAATTTGTTATTTCACCAATGAATAACCTAATAATTTTCATTCCATAAAACACTGTCGGCATTAACAACTATTAATTTAGTTCATTGATATCACTGAACAAACGAGGTAATACCACTTCAAATATCCTAGTGAAGGAATCGAATAACTTAGGAACAAATATTATTGGACTATAAAGAAAATAAAAGACAAATTTGCCCAAAAAGTCTCTGAAAAACCGAGCAACAGCACTAAGTAGCACAAGAAATGACCTAAACGATGAAACGAAACAGATAGAAGAAGCATTGGTGTTAAATAACTAACTATCCTATAAAATTCATTAGGAAGGATCAGAAAAGGTCAAAAGAAAAAGAAAAATAATGGGGAAATTATTAACGATAACAAAAATAAGAGAGAGAGTATAAGATATCTACGGTTTTACCATATAAGGAGGGGACATCTGAGACTCTACATAGGATTCTCAATAAGGCATGAATTAGGGTGGTATTCAAACCTACAAACTCATTCAGGGACAAGCTCTGTAGGCTAAAGACCCGGTGAACTCAATTAAACAAAATAAAATAATTTACAAAATACCTTGCAATGAGTATGAGTGAGGTCAACTACATAGGTGAAACTAGTAGATCAGGAATAGTCAGATTGTCAGAACAATAGAATCTGGCTAAAGTGAAAATGGTTGGTCCCGCAAACATAGGTAATTTGGAAAAGAGCTCAGCAACCGCCCTGCATGCATTAACACGCAACCACACAATAGAATGGGAGGTGGGGTTAGAAGTAATATAGGTAGGTGGAGAGAGACAGTGAGATTGATTACTGAATCTTTGTTCATCGAATAATCTACATCCAACACGTGCAATAGGAATGTCTCACCATTCATACCAGAAATATGGAAAATGTTACTACCAGTCAAGTCAAGAGATGAAAAATAATGGAATTATAGAAACGAAGTCAGCAGGTTGTGTGAGTAGTGTCTTGATGTGGTATGATTATGAGCTGCAGTAATAAATTGGGGTGCTCAAAACGTTGTCATCAGTAAATATTACTGCAAAACAACACTGTGAGACTTTATCAAAATAAATTTTACCTATAATGGAATTATACTCTACCACAGAGCACAAGGTTTATTCTTATATCAATTCCACTGAATTATTTAGTTGAGATGTTTTACACGTAATTATTTGGTTTTTCCTTTCAAAATTTTAGGCTATAATAATCATTGTACAATTCTGCCGATATATAGTAAACTGCTCAATGTCACTTCTAGTGTTCACACTATGGTTCGAAATGATACTGACATGCAATTCATTGGCTTTGGCACTCATAAGGCTTTTAGAGAAAAATGCAACTGACACATCTAGTACCTCCTCGTCCACTCATTTTAATTTTTAATTTCTTGAATTGTTCAGAACATTCAGCCACATTTTTTGCAAAGATGTTAAAATCCATTGCTGAATACAATTGCTTTACTTGTGCACGATTTTGTATCACATGAAACAACGAGGAGAAAATATTTTGTTCGTCTTATTATCTGTCCTGTCCTTAATGATATCAGAAATATTTCAAACAAAGTTTTCCTCTTTTTAATGTTCCCCTGTACATCAAATCTGACGTCCAGATATTGGCAGCAAATATTTATGCTTTTGTATCTAACATAACCGTTAATACACTTGGCAGTTTGCGGTGACGAATTTTCTACCTAACTGATTCGCCAGCCTACTGTTCTAATCACTATTAGCAACAACATCAACAACAAGAACGAAATGATACGATACCATTGAATCCGCAAAGCAAGAAGATAGACCGTCGATTTAGAGAGCTTTTACTGTCTCGTGAATGGTTGATAGTGGCTATATATATATATATATATATATTATTTGAATGACCTTGAAAGACACCAATTACAGTGGTGAATTAAAACAGTTAACGACCAACAGGATTCCAAGGCCATTGGTCCGGTAGAGGAAATACAAACAGTGCTGCACTCTAAAGTAAATGTAGTATTTTAGAAAGATTAGGTGCGTATAACTGTATTTGATCGTGAAACACCAGGTAAATTAAACAAAAATTCTAAAATGCTGGAGATGACACGAAAATGTGAAAACATCAGAGAAAAAATCTGCTATATGTAGATTAGAATCACTTAAAAACACAAATGAGTGTATCGTAGTAAAGGGAAACACAGTTTTCGTTCTGAGAAAATTTAATAATCCCAAAAGAGACTGATAAACACTCTCATAGAAGTATATATTTATGTGAAATAATGGAAAAGATTTGTAGCTCAGCTGCATAAATTTGATTTGGTTATGTTCTGTGTCTGTGATGGTTGATTTAATTGCGTAACTTTTGATGTCCACCTTTAAGACAGCAACTTCGGCGTTGGTTTTAGCATGAAATGAATTTATTTGAAATCTCCACGACAAAAACATGAAAATCAGTTCCCTCATTTTCGAAATACTATGGAAATGTTTTTTAGTGAAAAACAGTATGATCGTTAGACAATCAAACAAATGAAGTAAAGATTCACGAAGAAATTTATAAGTAGTTATGGGTAATTTCATTCAATAGAAAGGTAAATGAAATGTTGTATTTCGAGTTTCAAACAACAGTTGCAATATGAACTGAGAGTGCTCGCCAAGTAGATGTACTTACATTCACAAGTCAGTGCTGGTATTCTCCTCACTGAGGCTCGAACCAAACACTGTTAGTTCCAAATGACGAAACATTACCAACTAGACCACTTGGACAAGGAGAGGTACCTATCACGCGAAAAAGGCATCGGTAATAAGTTAATTTAATTTGAGATTTCCCTTCGATTAGCTGAAACGAAGTACTCAGTATCACGCGATAGTCACCCCGGGGTCATTCGGTACATTCAGTGCCTGACAAGTTCCAAGTCAGGGAGAATGCGCCTTATCCTGTATTACACACCTAGCCAACATCCACCAATTTATTTCAAGTAAAATAGTCAGGCAACACCGAGGCATCCGCAGAAACAGCCTATATGTCGAACTGAAGACGAAGACTTTCTCATCTAATCAGTAAACAGGAAAGTTCAAACTGAATTTAAACATCTAGAATCATCAACACTGTGTCAATTTGGATAGCATGATTTAATGAACTTGCTTAATTTCAAAAATAAGTTGATGAAGTACCAAATTCTGATGACGATGCCTTGAAAAAGAGACGAAGATTTACGCTGACATTATTATTATTGTTCCTTTGGGTTCCTAGTGGAACACAGGGCCTCAACTGCACGTCTCCACTTGCTTCTGTTTTTCTTTCTGCTGTACTTTTCACCTGCATCCACCTTAGTCCATACTGTTTCAACTCCTCTTCAAACGATCTCCTTCATGTCAGTATTTCACTGACGTCCCACTCGCCGCTCACCTTTCAGGTTCAACTCGAGCAGTGGTCTGACGCGCTCGCGATGTCACCCAGCAGTCTCCTCAGCGAGTGAGTGTTCAATCCATCTCCACTTTCTCCTGCATATTTGTTGGCTGGCGATTGCTTAATGTTTTGTTTGTTCCCATAGTTTCTTGTTGGCGGTTTTTTCCGGCCCGGTCATCTGATCTTCAGTATAGATCCAGCGAAGACAGTACAGTTGTTGATGAAGGTCTGCAACAGGATGTTGGAAATATTCTTTGTAATCCGCCCGCCAAGTTTGTAATCCGTATAGAAGAAATGACTGACTTGACTTTTGTATTGAAAATCCGACTGAATTTCATTGTTGAGGTCAAGCTGAGTGACGAAGATTTGCAGATTGGTTTCAGGTTGGTGAATGTGTTTCTCGCCTTCCCGATTCTCGCTCGATTTGACATCCTCGTCCGTTCTGACTGCCTGTAGTTGAGACAATGCTCCCTAGATAAGTGAGTGAATGAAGTAACCTCTTTCAAATCCCTCCTGTTGATGGTGATTGGCGCTGGATTTTACTGTTGTTGGTTGGTTATTTTCATAACCTCCATGTCAGTCAACTCTCAGAAACTGTCAATATACAGCTCTTACTACACTGGAAGTAGGGACCACGCTGTCCCTGCAAGACTTTCAGAAACAATTGGTAATAACCAACGCGAAAAAAGCAGAACACAGGTTGCCGACTCCAGAATCCCTTATTCTTACACCAGTATGTAACCAACAATAAGGTTATTGCACAAGGTCTAAGAATAAAATTTTATGAAAATAAATCATGATAATACTTCTGATAGTTTTCGATCTTCCACTGAACAGCGAACGATGAGACGATGACTGCTGGCTTGATGACTCCCGCGAAAAATATGGAGGAGTTGGGTTTCAGCAAACAACCATGAATTGATCGTTCAATCTTCAACTACATTGACACTCCGCCTTGTCTATGTTCACCTGGAGTCCTGTCTTCACCGGCTGCTTCTTCGACCAGTTTGTCGGTTTTCGCTCGTAGGTCTTCGATTTTGTGTGACATCAAGCACAAATCATCCACGCGCGAAATCCAGGTCTTCTAGGTTCTTCACGTTGGTCCACGATATTCCTGTCTTCTCATTTCCCACTCACTGTCTGACGCCTTATCCAGTCCACCACAATCAGGAATATCATTAGTGATAGATAATAAGCACCCTTGTCTGACTCCTGTGTTTACCCCAAACGCCTCGCTGAGTTTTCCGTTGTGGATTAATTGACATGTGCCGTTGTCGTACAGCTGTTGAATAAGGCTGATGAATATTTGGACTACGCCATAGTACTCGAGTAATTTCCAAATTACTTCACGATCAACGCTGTCGAAGGCCTTCTCAAAGTCTATAAAGTTGAGGTAGAGGTTTGATTTCCATTCCATGCTTCGTTCGATGATGATGCGTAGAGTTACAATTTGGCCAGAACATGATTTGCCTTTCCTGAATCCAGCTTGTTCTGGTGGGGCGGAGTTCTGTATCCAGTGAGTCCTTTATTCTCTCCAGGATGATGCGACTCAGGATTTTACTTGGCGTCGACAGGAGCATGATTCCTCACCAGTCCTTGCAGAGTCCTAAGTCGCTCTTCTTTGGCAGTTTCACGAGGTTACCTTTCCTCCAGTCAGTATGCACATTTCCCTCCTTCCAGACCTTTTGCAATAATGGAGTCATCATGTCTGCTGTCATCTCTGGGTCGGCTTTTAGTGCTTCAGGGTGTATTCCACCTGGTCCAGCTGCTTTCCCAGCTTCCAGAGTCTTGATTGCATTCAAGACTTCAGCTTTCGTTGGAGGATCGGTGTCAACTTGGAGTTGTGTGCACGCTGTGGTTGGTATTTCTGGACGGGTTGCAGGTGGTGGTCGGTTCAAGAGTCCTTTGAAGTGATCCGCCCATTGTTTAATCTGGTTTTCTTCCTTGGTAATGGGCTTCCCTTGGCTCTCTTTTATAGGTTTCGCTTGTGTTGATCTCTTCCCGGATAGAGACTTGGTTATCTGATTTAGTGTCCCTAGGTCCCTTTGCCTGCTGCCTTCTCAGCTTCAATGGCCTGATTGTCGTAGAATTGTCTTTTGTCCTTCCTAGCACTCTTCTTCACTTCTTTGTCCAGCGCTGTGTAAGTTGAGCTCAGCGTCTCCTTCTCCTGTCCATCCTTGCATTGAATCATTTTCTCTTTCACTATCATCCTCTCCTTTATTAGCTTCCAAGTGTCCGTCGAGAGCCATTCCTTGTCTTGTCTCTTCTTTTTTCCTAGAATTGTTGAACACGCTTCGTTGAGGATCGTCTTCAGAGACTTCCAATGTTCTTCCAAGCATGATTCTTCAGTGATGTCGCGTAGTGTTTCCTGCTCCGCCCTGACAGTTGCATTGAAAGTGTCTTTTGTGGTTGTGTCCTTCAGTAATTGAGTGTTGAACTTGCATTGTGGTCTATCTTTAGCTATCCTCGAGGCTTTTAGTTTCACCTTGAAATTTCCTTCTACTAGATAGTGGTCTGAACCCACATCTGCTCCTCTTCTCGACCTTGTGTCCAGTAGGCTCCGTCTCCACTTTCTTGAAATTGAGATGAAGTCTATTTGGTTCTTGGTGTTTCCATCTGGTGAAATCCATGTCGTCTTGTGTATTTCCTTGTGTTTGAAAACGCTGCCACCAATCACCAAATCCCTGAAGGCGCAGAAGTCTGAGAAGATACTTTGACATACGGTAAACAAATACAAATAACCATAAAGAATACTGAAACAGATTGTACTCTCAATTAATTTTAAGGTGATAATAAGACGAATGCAGTGGGATAATAACGTTCTATTGTACCTTTGTGATCGTTACACAACT